TGTCGGCGCCGCCGTCATTATTTTGTAAACTGCGAATGTAATGGGCGAGCAGTGAACAAACAACTGACCGACGTCACTTCAACCCCACCACCGAGTGATATATAAAGCAGCGCAAGCGCAAGCTCGAGTCAGTCGTTCGTCGATCGTTGCCCAGTTCACACGTTACGCAATCGCTGAGTAATTTTATTGTTGGTTTTATTTGAGTGTTTCCTTTATATAATCAGTGCTGAATTATTCAATTATTATAATTAAAAATTAATGTGAAAGTAAGTTCATTTAATCGAAATAAACTAAGTGATTGTGTGAAGCTCTTTGTTTTATTTTCAAATAATGTCGGACCCTGATCCTACATATACAACTCTTATCTAACTACATACACTTGGTATATTGTTTTGCCGGAATCAAGTCTCAGATAATGATAATACGGAGCATTTTTGCTCACGATACAACTGTTTGTTTTTATTGTAATTGTACAATGTTACTATATCATGGAATTTTATTAAAAGCTATCAAAAGCAAAATATTTGTCGTGACCACAAAGTTACGCTGTAAATTGTCGATTCATCTTCATAAATTTGAAGTTAAATAAGGCGACGTATTAATTAGGTCTAGACAATTCAGTAGAACTGTGTTGTGTGATTCTTTAGAATAGAGTCGAATCGAAAGTTAATTAAGTAGTGTGGCAGAAAGTGGTCTGTCAATTGTTCCATATAGAATACTGTTTCTTTATAAACAGTTCACTTTAGGTCGTCAATTGAATCGCAATAATAGTTCATGGTAGTAGGTACTCTAGTATTGATACAGTAGACCCAAAGAGACCATCCGTAATGACATCGATATAAAATATCAGTGTGTTTATTTGATTATAATTATGTAGTTACTACTATGTGCTTCACGACTAAAATCGTCGACGTTGGTCATAAAGCTGCAGGCTTGAAGTGGAATTGGGCTGGTCATGTCTGCCGCATGTCAGACGAGTGGAGGGCAAAACTCATTACTGAGTAGTACTGAGTGGAGCCCAATCAACGTCATTAAACGTCGCGGCAGGCCCAAAGGATATGGTGAGACGAATCGGGCATCTATAACAGGGATTGGCCGCAAAAAGCTTTACATAGAGAGGAGGGGAAAGAGAGTAGAGAGGCCTTTGCTCTGCACCATGACTGAAAATAACCAGTAAAAACCTTCATAATCGTAAAACAATCACTTAAGCATAAAGCATTAAAATTTTAATTTCAATATTTATTACTTACCTAATTGTAATTCTGCAATAAAATTACTATTTAACAAAAACACTGTTTAACTTTTAGTACGTTTTAATTAATAGTTGATTTACTACAAATTAGTATGGAAATATTGATATTTTATTATAACTACATCGTAATTACAAAGCGGAAATTGCTGTATTTAGTAAGTGGGTAAATAACAACACAACAGAAACTTAAACTAGGGTCATTGTTATAGAATATGAATATTATGTTTTAGGTAAACACAACAAAGTAGACTAACATTATAATTGAGGGAATACTTCGTTCGCATTTGAAGGTTCCTGAACTAACACCACTCTGCACCGATTTTAAAGTATTCCGTGATCATTTGAATAGGGGCTAACCATAGATTCTGTAATAATAATTATTATTTATTTGCTCAATGTGGTACATGATATAGATGTTACATACAATATATTTAGATCAGCACATTGACCATTATTGGCATGCAAATTGGTTACATTTGATCTTTACTGTAGATTAAAATAAAATACATGAAGTCTACAATTTTGGTTCATAAACTAAGTACACTTACTGCTCTTATTTATTTCTTTCTTTAAAACTAAAAGATTTACATTTGTTTTTTTCTAGAAATTCTGTGGGGATACCTAACGTTTTTTTTCACCAGATGACGCAAATATAATCATGGGATTTTTATCGAATCACAGCAGTTATCAAATATTGAACGTCCAATGGTTTGACACAAGCTAATTTCCCATTGGATGAAGAACGAGAGGGTCACACTAGCAATCTGATGATAAAAAATACGGTAGGTCCTATTAAAAGCTTGACTGACTTGTCAGGAACATGAACTATTTAAAACGAAACCAAAACATCTCACGAACGGTGATGCAAAATTTGAGTTATTTAAAACTAGCGGCCCGCCCCGGCTTCGCACGGGTACATACACACACACACACACACATACACCCTTCTTTTCTGCGTCGGGTTTCAAAAAAAAGTAAAATTATAAAGGAAGTTAGAATTTTTTTAATGATTTTTTTATTCATATTTTTTATTAATGTTTTTTTTGTTTTTTTTTTAATTTTAAATTTTTTGCATTGGAATTTTAGGAAAGATCCCTAATTATTTTTAAAATATAATATAGCCTATGTTACTCGGGGATAATGTAGCTTTCCAGAGGTGAAAGAATTTTTGAAATCGGTCCAGTAGTTTCGGAGCCTATTCATTACAAATAAACAAACAAACAAACAAATCTTTCCTCTTTATAATATTAGTATAGATTTGAAACTGACTGAGTTTTACTCACTGATCAATACAACTTCTAAGATAGAAACTGGGTAATTTTCTACGACGACGTGTAAAGACGTGCAAATAAAATAAAATAAAACGTTATCAGGAGAGCGACGTTATCGAAGTAAATGAATATTCGACTGAATGTCAAGTTCTTTCAACATTTAAAGCGTCATTACCTACGTTGCTTTATATTATTGTAGCTATTGCATTTTCTCTTCTGAACAATTATTTCGTGGTTACTATATGAACTTGGCAACTACTAAGATTTGAGTACAGCGTATAAGTAGTCTGTTATGAAACGTTTCAACATTCATATTTTATTAGTGTTAAGTGGTTAAGTGCCCGGTTTGGCATGTGACCTGTGTCACATCCTCTTCATAAATACAGTTTTTTTACTGTGGATGGCCGACGCCCTGCCTTTTTTTTAAGGGAGAAAATCATCGAATGACTGCTCCCGCTTTCGTGAGGCGGGAGGGAGTGTCAGACTCTTATTGAGTAAAAACCACCCCGTTCCTTCTCCTGCACGTCGAGCCGGAGCCTCGGTAACTCGTTAGGTTCTCCGCGACTTCTAAGTGACATTATGCCCGCCTTTTTGCAACGTAACGCCTTACCTATAAATATACCTGTATTTTTTCAATAAATTTTAATTACACGTCAATAGTCAAAATTAGTATCAAATAGTCAATGTCAGAAACAACTTTCTCTAGTTACTGTTATCAAATCCCTTGCCAAAATAGAATATTACGTTATTTGTTCAAGTTCAACAACCAATTTGAATATCGGAATGTATGAGTAACAATTTGTTTTTTATTCAAATTAAATAAATTCTATTGTTAAGACTTGTTCAGTTACTTTGCGTCACTCGATCTTTAATTTGATTAAAATCTTGTTCAGTGCGTTAAAAATCTAGATCAAAATGTAAGAGCTGCTTCACAATCTATACTAGTCTATACTAATATTATAAAGAGGAAAGATTTGTATTTTTGTATGTTTGTAATGAATAAACTCAAAAACTACTGGACCGATTGCAATATTTTTTTCACCATTAGAAAGCTGCATTATTTAGAAGTAACATAGGCTATATAATATCAGGCTAGGTCTTATAGTTGTGGAGCAGTAACCAAAAATGTTTTAAAAACGGGGGAAAAGTATCGTTTCTGAGGCCTTCCGTGGCGTGCGCTGAGCATATAGTTAAAGTTATACAAAAATGCTCTATAGATGAATTGTTCATCTTAACATTATTTTTAAAAAAGTCCGCGAAAAACTATGTAAAAAATCTTAAGTCCCCCCGTGCGAAGCCGGGACGGGCCGCTAGTACAATATGTAATAGATTGAAGATAATACGTATTTCAGCCGTGCTTTGTATTAAAATTACTATGAATGACTACTGAATTTACTGAGGAAATCGTTAAAACTGAAAAAATAATATTTAGAAAACGTATGAAAAAAAAAATGATTTTTGCCTTATAGTAATATGTAATATGTCTTATAGCTGATGAATTAAATATCAAGCATGCATCTCTATTCCCACGAGTTTACCTATATATTATATTATATTCCTTTCAACAAACAAACAAAAATCAACTTCATTTGCCGTATTTTTTTTGAAATAAAGTCATTTTCCAGTTCATAATTAAATTATTAGGCCTTATCCGTTATCCCTCATAACTATACCTTATTCTAATACCTGCTTATTGTATTTACTATCTAAATAAATTCAACTTATGTCGTAAATCTCCCATATGCTAAATTATTCTGATATCTACAGTCAGGTCGTTTACCTCCCTGCCTAGTCTACCTACTACATATATAGAGGATCTTCAGGCATTTTGTATTAGTCAATTATGTAATTTGTTACCCACAAGGTCGATATCGAACCTATATTAAATGCAACGTTACAGTATCTAAGTGGATTATTTTTAAAGGGTCTCATTTGTAGCAGTGTTCCAATGAAAAGCGTTCGTGTTTCATAGAAGACGAAGAAAAAAAAAACTGAAAATTAATATTCGATAATAACGTGAAGAAATATTTTTGTACGGTGAGCACAATTTTTTTTTTGTTTTCTTAAAAAGTTTTATACCTGAACGGTAAAAAAAAAGTGTTAAAAAAAATAAGTAGATATAAATAAATTGAGAATTTACTAAAACAATTCTTATTCGAAAACGGTAAAAAATTGTTTTCTTTTTACATTACAAAAAAAAAATATACAAAAAGAGAATTGTGGCCCATGAGGGGATCGAACCCGCGACCTTCGCGTTATTAGCACGACGCTCTAACCAACTGAGCTAATGGGCCGATGTTGTCAATGACGAAATAGACCACTACGTTCATTTGCCATACAACTAGTACTGATGTACGAAGTATGATGATGAGTTGCCTTCTATTAATAGTTGTCTGTAGACTATGTACTACATTTCTGTGATATTTTTAGCTACAGTTGCGTTATATCTATGAATAGATTGTATTATAAGATTGTGACGTGAAACAGTCACGCTTTGTTCGGAAATGTACCGTTGTTCAATAATTCTGTTTTCTTATGTCAATAGGTATTAAGATCGTTTTTATAATAACTAATTTAATTTAGTTAGGTATTAGGTTTTTCCATAAATATGGGTTTCTTTATAGTTCCGGCCGAAGTTAAATATTTTTTACCATAGGAATTCTCCTGTTACATTAGTCAGTTAAATTATTTAATTTAAATATAATAAATATAATATTATCAGTAGTAGCACGGAGTCTGGAATCGTGCCCGGTATATGGCAATAGGCTCACCCCCTATTACATGGGACTCCTAATATATGTAGGTATACTTAGTGAAAAGTGGGTGTTACATTGTACAGTGGCATAATGTGCACCTCTGCCTACCCCTTCGGGGATAAAAGGCGTGATATTATGTTATGTATGTAATACAAAAAAATACATTGATTGTAAACGAGAGTATACGATGTTTTTATAAATAACGAGAGTATACGATCCTCAAAATATTGCATGGGAAAATCTGTAATATTATAAGAGTCTACCTTTGTGGCATAAAAACACCTGTCAGACATATAAACTTCAGAGGCCTTAGTACGAGTTTGTTTTACGTTTAAAGTCTTAAGTAATCGTACCGAGTACGCGTTCGGCGCTGTGATTGGTTGCTTCATTGGCGCCGGCCAATCAGAGCGCCGAACGCATACTCGTTTCGAATACTCTAAACGTAAATCAAACTCGTACTAAGACCTCTGAAGTAACAATTGAATGTACAGACTATAAACATCTAAATAGAAATAAAAACTCTTACAAAACACAAAAAAATGTCATCCAACATACCTAGAGGTTCTTGCTTTTTTTGAAGTCGGAAACAAAAAAAGAAAAAACAACAATTGGGTATTTTCCTTGGATAATAAGATATTAAAAAATAATCACACTTTCATTGATTGATTTTATGGCCAACTTAATAATAGTATCTTTCCAACAATTTTTGAAGAAATAAGTATGCTGTTTGACGTTCAAAAAACGTGACAATACACAATCGCGTACAAAATTTATAGAAAACTGTCGTTTTTGACAGTTCGAAAAAAGTATTGAATTTGACTAGTTGGCAAGTACTTACCCAATTATCCGAACATACCTAGATCCTCTTCTTTTTTTTTGAAGACGGAAACAAAAAAAAGCAGTCATCCGAGCATAAAACCTCCTTTTTTTGAAGTCTGTAATAAAACTATGTAATTCACATTCCAGCCACAATGCAGTGGCAGCCTGTCAACTTGACAGAAGCGTGTCCCGAGCACGCACACCACTTGTCATCGTGTACACCCTTCGGGTTCATATTCCTGAACCTGGTGGTGCAGCTCTACGGAGGATCGAGGGACAAGAGGATCCAACAAGGGATAGGACGCTGCTATAATGAAGATTATGAGATCGAGATGGAACCGAGAGAGGAGTACGACTTTATAGTGGTGGGCGCCGGCTCCGCCGGGTGTGTCGTCGCTAATCGATTGTCTGCTGTCGATGATTGGAAGGTAAGCTTACGTCACTATTTCTATGGGTACAATAGACACTAGCTAGTGTGAACTTCTCGTTTTTCGTCCAATAGGGAATTGGCTAGAGTTCACACCATTGGATGTTCATTATTTGACAACTGCAGTGATTGGACAAAAACCTCTTGCTACATTTGCGCTATTTTATGATCATAAAATCGATAGCCCCCATTAAAAGAGAATTTTAGTAGACACTTATGTTAATTCAAGCTGTTGTTTGTGGGTCGGCAAGACTAAGAATTTTTTCTTTAACTTTACGATTAAAAGCAGTTCGAAATTTCAAATAAATAAACTGATTATTGTTATACTATGAAATTATTTGTGTTGCCTCCGTTATTATGGGATACTTAGTGTACAATTATTTATTTCAATCTTCCGGCACTTAGATATAGGTAAGCATCAATGTCAGTAATCCTTGGCCGGGCAAATTGTAGGCAACCTCCTCACTTCCAACTTTCGATATCTAAGTCGTACATTACCATCATATAATACACGATAATGGCGGCCAAATGCACGCGACTAGTGTTATCCACTAAGAACATAATTTTAATTATATTCGTTTACAAGGGATACGATAAAATGTGGCCTGTTTCCTTTTCAAATTTAACGGTTAAACGCTTTAAGTGAGTAGTGATGATTTAATTCACGATTACTTCTAAATTTACGAGTGAAGCGATAACTAGAACTTAAACAATTAATTCTGATGTTTTAATGAAGTGTAATCTTGTCAGAAACTACATACCTATTTAATTTAAAACTACTAAAGAAATACTTATTTTTTATTTGTCTATAATTTTGTTAGAAGTTATTCGCTAAAAAAATCTTGTAACCACCTTGGTAATAGAGAAGAAACTGGCCAGTTACAATGGTTGCCATTACTATTTACAGAAAAAAAATAGTAAATAAAAAAGAATAAATTTTTTTGACAAAAATGGCCAGTTATTTTTTTATTGTTTCATCAAAAGAGGTTGTAGATTCTGACATACCACCTTCAATGACTCATGATAGTTAGATGGACTTTTGAACTATGAGACATTGATTTGCAATTATTTTGTCTAGTATTATCGAACTTAAATTGCTTAATGATTAATTTAATTAAAGTACACTTTAGTAAACGTGTAATTAAGTGAATCTCCACTGTAGTTAAACCTCAATAGCCTGACTCGAAAGTGTACTGCTGGTAACCTTAACCCAGAATTCAAAAATCTTCATAATAATTTCCAAAAATGTATGTCCACATTCCAGGTGCTACTATTAGAAGCTGGAATAGAACAGCCAGACGTGACCTTGGTGCCTGGGCTGGCGACGACACTTTTAGGGTCTAACATAGACTGGAGTTACGCCACGGAACCTAACGGCAAGAGCTGTCTGGCGCGCCGAGGACAATCCTGCGGATGGCCCAGGTAAAAAATTCACAATACATACATCAATTTCTGTTTGGCTACAAAGCTTGAGAATGGTTAGCTGGATTTGGCTGATTGCAGTTTAAAAAAACTGAAAAATCTAGAAATCTTTAACGAATCTAAAATATGGGAAAATCTTGAGGAATTGTATGAGACAGCTGTCGTATCTGCTCCTAGTCATATTGTAATTTTGGTCAGAAAAGTTATGCCTGTGGATTGACATAAAAGTCGCAATGGTTTATAAAGCAGGTGGATAGCTTGGTCAGCCCCTGCTGTCAATAAGAATTTCTGCCACAATAAACGTTTGTGTCCTTTGCAAAACTTATTCAGTGCTTACAGACGGATATAAAAGTACCTACATAAGTAAATAAAATTGGCAGAACATGTTTGCATGGTAACCGCCATAATGCACCGTAATTTTCCCAAAACCGATACTTAGGTGACTAAAGCAATTAACTTCAGGGTTCAAAAGCATTCTTATCACATTAACACGAACATTATTTAACAATATTAGGTCCCTGTTAATCGATAAAACCTCGTCACGAGCTCTGATAGCTTTAATCACAGAGATCACTTATCCCGATTACATTTTACGCAATATTTATTTGTTATCACTAATATCTGATGGTTCGCGAATTCGATTTGCTCCGGCGCCCTTGCCTCGCTATCAATGTAAACATTCCACGTAGCACGTTCCATTATCTTATCACCGTCTAATGTTACTATGCCAGGTAATTACGTTTTAATTCCAACTGTATCGTAGTATCGAGGTGTGTACGTCAGCTGATCAAGTTTGTTCCTGTTCGTTGCTTTTCGTTTCTTTACGGTGCCTGTTCAAACCTGAACTCGACCGTTACTTTCTTATGCTGTCAAGGGGTATTCTATAGTGGAATATTGGTTTAACGTTCTCAACATCTCCCAATTGCAAATGTAATCTATAGTGAGTGACAGCACCTTTAGCTCAAGATTTACTAGTCATGTTTCGAATTTGTTCAATATTTATGCACATCTACTTCCCATCGATTCTCTGTAAAACATTGTTCTAGGCAGTAAGAATTCTTTGCCTGACCATTATCTCAATTTTAGCAAAGTCATCTCTTCGTTGCTCTACCCGTTGGTAGAGCAACGAAGAGATGACTTTGAAACGACTTTCGTTAAAGTCGTTTCAAATCAATAAAATTCATTTTGCAGAACCTTGCTTATACTTTTCTTGTAGCTATTTCCTTCTAAGCTAGACTTTGACCTCGAACAGTTCTATTTTTATTTCTCGCCGTAAACTAATTTCAGTTTGAGTGACGAAGTAATCAAAAACACTGAAATTGATTGGCTTCTGATTGATTTTCTACAACTAAATGTCACACTCTAAGATGCAAATCTTCAATTAGAAGTAATTACAATTTGTTTTTGCTCTGTCTTGGTTTTAAAAGAATTTTAAATTCCAGTCATTGATTATAGATCTTTCTACGATATATCTTAACGTTAAAATTATAAAAAAGCATGAATTTTATCATTTTCTGTATCAATTTCCTAAGTTCAGTTTAAGTCTGCTCCAAATCTTAAATTCCAACGAAGAAGATTTACTTGTAATCTTCAAGGTTACTTCATTTCTTTGATTAAGACAATGTCAGGGTCTGTATTCACAATAATATTCTATGAAATGAACTATTTCTAATGACTTACACACTTTTAACTTTATTTGTCCATGTGTAGTCTTTTATTTGTAAACGTTCACCAGTGACCGATGTTGTAAACTACGTATTTGCTGTGTAGCTTTATATAGGAGCGGACACTTAAAATGCCATTTTATGTCTCGAAGCTCCAAGCCTACATTGCGTCTTATACTTGTGTTATTAAAATTATTTCCCTGTTATGTTCTTAGTTAAAATCCTGACCCGATAATTATGCCGCATTTATCAACCTTGGCAGGTCCCTTTGCCAACTCACATTGACTTGCATTATTTTACATTCTCTATCGATACAATTTGGTGGCGCCGCATTATCTTAGTGCGTGATTTTTATTTACATTAAAATAAATACTGACTGATAAGAACGTTATCTATCTGTCTGTAGAGATATAAAGTTTTCGCAATATTTCACAATGAAATAGTTTATATTTAGCTTTAAATGTTGTTTCTGATCTTAACTATGGCATGTGATCGATCAGATCTCAGATTAATACAAGAAATAGTGTCACAGACATTGAAATGGTGCAATTACTGACTCCTATGTAAATAATGACTATTATTGGTTGCAAATAAGAAAAATTAGCCATGTAGTAAACATTGTCCAAACTATCAGTACAAAACTATGATAAAATCATTTTAGGGGCAAAGTAATGGGTGGGTCGAGTTCCATCAACTCTCTGGCATACGTTCGTGGCAGCAAGGAGGACTACGACGAGTGGGCAGCCCTCGGTAACGACGGATGGAGCTACAAAGATGTGAGCAAAGTCTCTCAAAGCACTGGCACTCTTGTTTTGACTTGCCGTTTAAAGAAAAGAGCACTTTGCACTATTCATTGGATATAGCATGCTAGAGCTTAACTTGCACCTCTATCAGCAAGATCTTATTAAGTTGCAGTGGTATTTTGTGAACAAAACATCGACAGCTATCACGCACCAAGCACTTTTAAAATTACAGCACATTGCACGTTGTAGCAACAAAGATGCAATAAAATTGTTGTCGAAACTAAAGACAGCGTAATTTCCAATTCAAGGTGCTGCCATATTTTAAGAAATCCGAGAGGAATCTCAACATAGAGGGGCTCAACCGAAAGTATCATGGCGTCGACGGAGAACAGTACATTTCCAGATACCCAAATATTGACAAACCAGCCATTATGATGATCGATGCATTCCACGAAGGAGGCGTGCCCCTTGGAGACTTCAATGGAGCTCACAGTGACACCACGATGTACTCGCAATCTATATCTAAAGACGGAGTGCGAGTATCTACGAATAATGCCTTCATACAACCAATCAGATATAAGCGAAAGAATTTAACTGTCAAGTCTGAAGCCGAAGTAACTAAAGTCCTCATAAACAAAAAAAATGTAGCGTACGGTGTGAGGTACACACTGGACGGTATGGTCCACACAGCCTATGCAAAGAAAGAGGTCATAGTGAGTGCCGGCAGTATCAACTCTCCGAAGTTGCTCATGTTGTCAGGTGTCGGTCCTAGGGAACACTTGGAAGAATTAAACATTCCTGTTAAGAAAGATCTAGCTGTCGGAGAGAATTTACACGACCACGTCACTTTCAATGGTATCCTAGTAGTCTTACCCAATGGTACGGACACTCGAGTGAGTAACGAAGAGATGCTAGAAGACCTGTATGAGTACCGTCAGATGGAACACAAGCACGGGCCGCTTTCAAGCAACGGTCCTATTAGCGCTATAGCATTCATAAAGACTGAGCCTGATTTACCGGCACCTGATATTCAATATCAAATAGATCGTGGCTTCTTGAAAGAATTCGTTCGTCAGCCAGCTCTCTATGACGAGGTGGTAATCTACCCTTCATCGTACTACGATTGTCTCATTCCCAGGACAATGAATTTGGTTCCTAAGAGTAGGGGTAAACTGTTACTGAACCCGGACGATCCGAATGGCAAGCCTTTGATATACGCCAACTACTTTGAAGACCCGACTGATATTATACCAATAGTTAAAGGTGTCAAGTTCCTTATCGGTTTGGAAAAAACGAGAGCGTTCAGGTCCATGGGGGCGTATTTCGATAAGACACCGTTAAGGGCATGCAAACAATACCGGTGGGGTACTGATAGTTATATCGAGTGTTTGGCGAGGTCTTACACGTCGACTACCTACCATCCTGTAGGAACATGCAAGATGGGACCTTCATGGGACGAGAAGGCAGTTGTGGACCCGCGACTAAAAGTGTACGGAATATCGAACTTGAGGGTAATAGACTCCTCAATAATGCCCATCGTGAACCGAGGTAACACGAACGCTCCTTCCATCATGATAGGAGAGAGAGGCGTGGCCTTTGTACTAGAAGACTGGTTGAAAGATCGTGACTGTGATCGTTTTGATTACGATTATGATTAAATACTTGTAGTACTATTTTATATTTTTGTTGATATTATAAACGACTTACTTCCACCTATGACTCATTGTTTTATTGTTTTATCATTTATCGCTATTATGCAGTATTTGTTTCAATGCGAAACCTATTAAGAAAAGCTTTCTTTGATAATCTGATATTTATCTGTGCTTCTATTTTGAGGTCTTGTTGGGTAGTCATAAATAAGGAAATAACAAAACATTTCTATCTTAACAATATCATTTATTCTAATAAAAAATTTCATCTTTTTCACATGCACTTTAAAAAAGTATAAAATTCACAATATTTATCTCCTCGCGAACATCTCTCAATAATATAAAGTAGACATTTTTTCGTCTTCATGCAAATCGTATAGCAAGCCATCGTGGCACAATATATCATCAATATTTACTATTAACAATTTACAATCAGAATTTTCTTTCTTTTCATCATTTTTTTCTCTCTTTTGTACGTTTTTTTTGGCGAAATTGCCTCAAGTCTATCCTCTATACATTACAATAGACAAATTTACAAGTTACAATTCAAACTTAACAAGTTAGTTAGAAATTACAAACAGTAGAACCCATTCAATGGTCAAATGTACACTGGTATAATGCAAAGTCTAACAGACGTAATTGTAACTACTAGACAAAAGATGGCGCTATACGCCGAAGCCGCAGCCAACATGGCCGAAATGGCAAACGAACCGTTAAAGTCGTATATTTTTTTTTCCAAAAACCATAATGTTTAGACGTTTTCGACGTTTTCACTTCTCAGGCAGCTTGATGACGGGTGTCTGGGAGTATCCCCAGTTCATCTCGCAGTGCTCGATGAGGTCTCTCTCGGCGTCTGACAATGATGAGAAGTCGAATTCTTGACTATCACTAAACGGGTCTGTGTACGGATAGTGCACGAGGACACAGCTGAAGTCCATCGAGGCTCCGCACCCACCCAACAACTTCCGAATCTTAGTTTCGGAGTCAACCTGGAGACAAAACAGAGAGAACATTAATAACAGGTTCATACATGTCAAGTGTGGCATAGAGTCTGTAGATATGTGCGTTAATTCCAATGTCAATTAATTAATATTGAGCAAAATTTACGTCAAAGACATATAAACCTTGGCAAAACCAAGAGGAAAATGTATATAATTATGGGACAAGTTGCACAATGTTTGTGAGGTCTTATAGAACTGGTTTGGAGAGAGTAGAATGCAGAAACAGTTATGATATTTACCTTAATGACATAGATGTCGTTCTCGACGCAGAACGCTTGAAGTAATACTTCTTGCATGTGCGTTGCACTATCACCTGGCGGCGCCTCTGCCGTCAGACAGAAGAGGGCCCGGTTGCTGTTCTTTGACAGGTACTGGATGGCAGGGAGGAGACCGACTGTGAGTCGTTTCTCCACACAAGCGCGTCGCAGCACCGTCTTGATGCTTTGACTTATTGGGCTGTGAATAGAAGAACACATTGTTAGACACTTGAACTTGATAAAATGATTTTTTCACTATTTTTGAACTTTTCTCTATTTCTGAATAAATCACTCAATATTTTCTCTTTATTAACTTTCAAAAGTAATTTGAACACTAGTTATAATTTTGCACCAAGACCACAAAAGTCAAACTTTGTAAATAATAATTTCTCGTTCAGAATTTATATTTTGCAAAAGATTTTTTAAGTATTACATTGCACAATAATTACCTTTTAGCAGCCATGCCACTGAACGTTTCAGCTTTCACTGGAACAACTGAATCCTTGTACATTATGCTGGACAGTTTGATGCTCTTCAACTCGAACTGATCACTGATAGTAAACACTGTGTGCTCCTTGTCAGGAATGTTCACAAACACTTCACTCAATAACTCCAGATAATCCGTATTATGCAATCCAAAATAGTTCACAAACTGTTGAACTTGCCGAACTTTATGTCACAATGATTTCACAACTTTGCTGGTCAAACTTGCGTGGTGTCGCTCTGAATGCTCTGTGCAGAATGTGCCGTTGTGACGTACCGAGGCCTTTTTATAGAGGTAACCACGCATGCGCACTGTTTTACCAGTGTGCGTGAAGCGCTCAACCGATATCGACGCTGATTCTTCGAAATTCTCTAGTAATTTTCTTAGTGTGTGTGACTTGTTGGAGTATTGTGTTCGTACAGGCGTGTGTATACAAGCGGTGAGTAGTGTGGGTGAGGCAGTACTCTGTACAAACTTGTAGCTGGCGAGTCGTAACGTGTTCGTTAATATGCCAGAGAGCGTGAGCTTCACCGCCCCCCGCTTTATACGAACAGTAGACGACGAAGGGGTCATTCGACTGATATCAAAGGCTTATTAAAAAATTGATGTTATCAGTACTAGATGTTTGTGTGCGAGCGTTTTATCCGTTCTTGTTCGGAATTCCCAATGGCTTGGGTTTATTTTGTTGGAGGAAACGCTACTTGATTGCGTTTGTTTCGCGTAATTTGGGTTTGTGCTTACGGATACTGAAATTTCACGGGGTTTGTCGGCCAGTCCCTATAGAATCCGGGTCTAGTAACAAATTATCGTTGCATGTAGTAGTCAACATACACTACTATACTCCAATTATCTTATCTTAGAGATAACTGTGTAGTATGCGTTGCTGATAATTGGGTTGCTACAGGTGAACAGTCCGATACTTATGCAATGTCTTCAGTTTTATTGAAAATTCTATTATATCTAACTTTTACCCTTGAGTGGCAGTAACTGAATGTTTTTGGTAACCTTGTTAGTATTCGTTTCGCAAATTTATTATCTACCGTCACTTAGTCTGTCAATAATTAAAAATTACGATTTTCGCAGTTCTAAGTAGGTAAATGAAAGTCCTCATTTCTTTTGTCAAAATTTACGACGCAGATATATCTTTATTTGCGTATGTTTTTGTTTTTATTTTTGAAAAACAATGTCACATGCTGTCATGTCCTTATTTCATTTCAGTCTCTCGTTATCTTGTTTATAAATAGTATTGTTATATTTAGAATGGACTTTAGATAGCTGTATGCAATTTTTCCACAAGATTTCGAAATATAAACTTTTCTTGTGGACGGAATAGGTCTCCATTATTAAGGTTCAAGTATTTGTTATTTGATTATGCAGTATAAATAAACGCACGCGACAAAACAACATATTTGGGAATTCTGTTTAGGATAATATATTTTTTTTAATTTTTAAGGAATTTTGATAACACTTCGTAAGTGCATAAATCATTAATGAGGTCGTTAAGACATTGTTATTAGGATCCAATTACTATCTGTAATAGTTTGTTGTTTTATGTATCACGATATCGGCGAATGCTAGTATATCTATTATATTAGAGATACCTATTATATTAAAAGAAAGTGGATAGAACTGGTAATGTTTTTCCTGTTTGCCTGTCTAAATATAGCAAATCAGATTAAAAATTGTAAAGCTATTTTCAGAAAACAATACTCATAATAATTGATAAAGCAATTACTGTTACATTGAAAAACCCTATATTAATTCGATTAGCGATAAAATTTAATCTGTATTTTCTTTTATCTGTTTGTTTTGGTCGATACTGTACCTACTGAGTCACTGAGTCATCGCAGTGGATTCCTTGCTATTCGCGATAATTTGTCAAGGCAAGTCTTTCTGATCTGACCATGTTATAAACAAAAATCAAAAGAATGTAGATGAGGAATGCAATTGTAAAAGGACCGATATTTTTATGCTTTGTAATTTTGATAATATCGTAACTTTGAGAACTCAAAATTCGTATTTTATTCTACAACACAGGTATAGTTTGTTTTTATGTCAACTGTAGTTGTTGATATATGTTTCGGTGTTTCTTTTCAAGTGAGAAAATGTCATACAACTCAAGTTGCAATACTTAAATGACATCGGCATTGGGCATGTCAATATTATTAGGTTAAAAATCAAATCAATGCGATCAAACTCGATTATTTCTACGTCTTAAACTCAGTAAATAGACATTAAAAGGGTGTTAAACTCTCAGTGTCACACGTTCATTGGCACTTCGTTCATTGTACTATTTAAGAATGATGTCCCTTGCTTGACATGCTGAAAATTGCCGCTAAAATCCACATGTCTATTATTTTTAAATTACTGCTTATTTACACAGATTCATTTCGTCATAAACCAGTACAATTGTATCTTTCCCTGATTAGCGTACTCAGTGCTCATGGCAACTGACCTATTTATCAACAAAAAGTTTTAATTTAACTACGAATTACGATATTTAAAAAAAAAACTGTCCATGTCATGCATTGTGTAATCACGCGCGAACGTTGACCTCTTGTCTTTGAACGATCTTTGTAATCTGCGTATTGTGGGCAAAGTCACAAGTTACTCGCATGTGTTCCAATGTTTGCATTATTAACTTATCTCTTTAATAAACCCTATTTACTTGGCGATAGGAAATTTATGATACGAAATATACTACTTTTATTACTGTGAAGCAAAATCGGTTATACATTTGAGGTTATCTTCGGCAAACTTCGGAAAATTGGCGCGTAAATACCATAAATAATGAATTCATGTTTTTTTTATATCGTTTACGTTTGTTGCATACTTTTTGTAACGCTGTTTTGTGATTGAAATGTTAGACCAATCCCAGTATTAAAATAACTTTAAAATGATTGTCTGACAGTTATTTCGCAATTATTGTTTTGTATGTTACGTATAAACAGCATCATTGTTTCATGTTGTTTGTGGTTTCAATGTTTTGTCCTTAAGGACGTCAATAATAATATGTAATACTGTATTTTCATTACACACAGTCATATATTAGACACACGGACACGAGACAAGACCAATACAGTTGTTAACTGATCACGTGTAAAACAATTCCGTTTTTTCCTTATAAAAAAATATGATCAGCAAAAATTCCAATTATTATCCTCTTTCATAGGACTCAAAAGACAATGTTCTGTGTGTGTTTATTTCCAGTACAAAAATGACATAAAGTTTTTCGTGAAAAAAATACGTTCCTTTATAGAGACAGAATCTGTGGGTCGATGACGTCACTTGCAGATCTATGGTATTGCCAATCGGATTATGTAAAGTG